GCTTCGTCGCTTCCCGACAAAAGAATGTCGTCGACGTACACGAGAAGGAGGACCCCTCCCGCGTTAAGGATGTAGAGACAGGGGTCCGCCGTACTCTGAACGAACCCGATCTCCAGCAGGAAGTCGTGGAAGGTGCCGTTCCAGCCCTTCGGAGAGAGGCGCAGCCCGTAGAGCCACGCCTTGAGTCGCCACACTTTTCCCTGTTGTTCCGGAGAGCACTCGAACCCTTTCGGAGGGATGACGTAGATCGGTTTCGCATTTGCAGGAACCCGCGCGTGGAGGAATGCCGTCTTGATATCGGCTTGCTTCAGGCCAAAACCATTCTTGGCTGCGATAGCAATCAGCAGGTGGACGGATTCCATGGACGCCACAGGCGCCGCTTTATCCTCGCCCGTGTCTGCTTGGTGAAAGCCTTGGACCACAACGCGGCTCTTCAGTCGAGCAAGCTCGCCATTCTTGTACTTCCGCTTATAAAGGTACCTTGACGGGATCGGCTGGTCCTGGGCACTCGTCGGCGGCTCGACCCAGTCGTACACATCAAGGTCGACAAGCGACTGGTTTTCGTTCCGCATGGACTCTTGCCAGTCTAGAGCATCCTGCCCACGGATCGCTTCGTCGTAGCTCGAAGGGTCGGGAGCCCTGTAGCCCACTTCGCCAGGGTTGCCAGTCCCGTTGTTGCCAAGCGAGCTTCCGGTGAGCAGGGAGCGTTCCACTTGCTCGAAGGCCTCCTCCTCCGTGGCAAAGGTAAACAGGTTCAGACGTTCAGTCGGCTTGGGGTTCCTGGTGCTGCGACGGGGGCCCGGCTCTTGCGCCTGAGGCGTGGGCTCCGGCTCGTTATCCTTCTGCTCGTCTTGTGGCTCCACCACACTGTCGACGTCGTCATCAGACTCTTCCGGACCGGGATGGTAAATCATTGGAGTCTCTGGCAGCGGATCATGCCCTGCCTTGGGGGGAACCACGTCGCGCGGGGCTTTCTCGCGAATAGAAACTTCGGCGGAGTTGGTGATCTTAAACTTGTCACGAGGGGACCATAGCCTCCACGACCGGCTTTTAGGGTTGACACCGACCAGAAACATCTTCTCAGCCCTGGCAGCCAGTTTGTTGGGCCTGTCCCCCGCTTCCACGTGCTTAAAGCATACCGAACCGAATTCGCGGATGTGGTGCAAGCTGCCAAGCGGTTTGTTCTCCCATACCTCAAGTGGTGCCTTGCCGCCCAAGACGTCCGTAGGCGTGCGATTCAGTATATAGATCGCGTATTGGAACGCTTCGGCCCACAGACTCTCCGGTAGATGAGGTGCCCCAAGAAGAAGGCGCCGCGTTATGGCTGCGACCGTGCCAAAGCCACGCTCGGCGACGGCGTTGCCTTGAGGCATGTACGGGGCGTTGGTCTCGATTTTGATTCCAAGTGATGCTGCCAGCGCCGCGAACCTTCCCTTGAACTCGCCCCCTCCGTCGCAGTGTAGCGTGGTGATACACAGTCCTTCCGGGTCGGCTTCCTCCTTGACAACAGTTTCCAGCGCCTCAGCAGCTGCATCTTTGCTCTTGATGGGAAAACCAAACCTCATGCGGGTATTGTCACACGTGAACATCACCGCACCCTTGTGTCCACCGAGAGATTTTACGGAGTGCGACCAGGTGTCTACGTGCAAGAGCGCAAGACGAGTGCCGGCGCGAGGTCGGTTAGCCGGTGGGTGACTAGACTTCTTGCTGTTGCCGACAGCACATACCTCGCAGTCGCCAGACTCGATGTTTTGGTCAAATTTAACCCCAGAATGCTCCTTCCTCGCCAGCTGCTGGAGGGCGCGCGGATTACAGTGGCCCATCCTCCGGTGCCACATGTGTGCATTCACCTTCGTCTTGAGCAGCATCGCGGTCCCGTCCATCCTCATGTCGTCGAGGACAATGTTCACGCTGTACATCCGCGAAATCTCCGTGGAGATGGGGAAGGCCTGATCGCTGCTACGGAGTGCTGGAGGAGTAGACAGAAGATCGCACATCACCCCCCTTTCCTTCAGGGCTCCGACCGAGAGGATGTTCGCTCCTAGGTTGTCAACCAGTAGTACTTGTAGCTCCACCGGGACGAGTTGGTTCCGGTCGTTTGAGATGCCGAAACGCAGGATACCTTTCTGAGCCGCGCTCGACGTTCCACACGAACCTTTGATCCTCACGTTGCAGTCCGACTTCTCGGTCACGTGGCGAGATGCGTAGGAATCCGCGCTAACCATGTGGCTAGACGCTGCTGTGTCTACGAACATAATGGTGCTCCTGGCGGACTCGTCCTTAACCTGGTACACACTGGTGTAGGCAACTATATCTGTTGCATCAGCAAGCGGGTTCTGCACCTGAACGTCACTAGCAGCATCAGCAGCACGCTCCTCGGGCAGCGGCACAGCAGGGGTATCCAGCACTTGCTCATCGTCGGCAGCGCGCTCCTCTGGCAGCGCCGCGGCAGGCGCCTCCGCCACCTGCTTCTCAGCAGCAGCGCGCTCATCGGGCAGCGCCACAGCAGGCGCATCCAGCACCTGCGCATCATCAGCAGCGCACTCCTCTGGCAGCGCCGCAACAGGCGCCTCCGGCACCTCCTCCTCAGCAGCAGCGCGCTCCTCCGGCAGCGCCGCGGCAGGCATTTCCAGTGCCTGCGGATCGTAGATGACAAGACCTTCCTGCACGCCCACGGCGGCGCGCTTCTCCGGCAGCGCCGCGGCAGGCATCTCCAGTGCCTGCGGTTCTCCAAACGAGATGGAAAAGTCCTCCGGCTCACCGCTGGATTCCTCGACTCGGGTGAACCATGCCTGCGTGGACGGTTCCGGCGCGGCGGCATTCGCCTGTTGGGCGTTATCCTCTCGCACGTTCTCCAGGCGAAGGGGGCAGCCGTCCCATCCGTGCTCTGTAGAGTTGTGGCAGTACTTGCAGCGTCCCTGACGGTCTCGGCCCTTTTGGTGACTTTTGTTTCCGCCTTTATTGGACTTGTTGCCGCGGCCTCGCCCGCGCACATCTTGCGCGCCTCCAGGGCTATCGCCTCTGGAATTTCCGGCGGAGGAGCCGCTGCTGCCGTTGTCTCCGGTCGGTTGGCTGCCATTGCCTTGGCGGTTGCGTCCGCCGCGTCCGCCACGTCCGCCTTGCTTACGGAAACTACGTGCACCCCCGTGCACGACCGTGTTGTGGGCACGGCCGTGGGCAGAAACCTTCCCCCTGATCTGCAGTGTATGGTACGCGGTCGCTCGGTGCGCGACATTTTCGAAGTCAAGATCCAACTCCGAGCCATCGGCTTGTCCGCACACCAGCGCGGCCTTAAGTTGGGCGTAGTGCTGGTCAGGAAGCGCGTTCAACAAGATATGCGTCTGGCGGGCTGGTACGACCTTGTCTCCAAGTGACTCGAGTTCGGAACTGATACGACGCAAGTCTTGGATTGCACGCGCCGGGTCGTAATCGTCCTCGGCAGTGACCGCAAGTGATCCTAACTCTCGCTGCAGTTCATGCATCCGATAGGTGCCCTTCTGGCGGTACTTCGCTTCTAGGGCAACGTATGCCGCACGTCCGTCCCCATGCTCACCAACGCGAGCGGGGCCGAAGGCTCGAACGACTTGGGAAGCAGTGCTCGAGAATCCATCGGCGCAGTCGGACGTAGCAAAGTTTAACCGTGTGTACAGTTTGCCGTTCTTACGTTTGAATTCCAGCGTCGTCCTGTCGAACGCAGCACGATCCGAATCCGCGCTGCTGGCCGCCGATGCCGGGGCGGTCTCCGTCCCAGCCATGATGTCGCCTAATCCTTGCTCATCCATGATGGAGTAGAACAGGCCACTCCAGCCGTGGAAATCTTCCGGCTTCCCGCTAAACGGGACGTATCCTTGTTTCAGGTAGTTCGTGGCGGACGCCATGCTGCTGCTGGGGTGTGACTCGATGTGAATTACCTACCAAACGCTAGGCTCATGACCTGACAACAGAATTGTAGTTGCTGTTTGTTGTGTAGTTGGCAGTGGTGGCGCAGTTTGGGTAGATACAACACAGAGTGATCATTAGATCCAAAACACAGGCGCCCAAGCTGTCTTCACCTGACGGTTACAGACTTGGAGACACGCCTTCACAATACTGCACAAAACCCATGCAGTAGAATAGAGTCAGTTCTTGCATACAAATCCCAACAGTAGTGCAGCACCAGCGGGAGTTGATACATCTGTCGAGCAGATCACCGTGCATGTCGAGTGGACTCTACACTCATCTTAATCTGGCCTTCAGTGCGCAAGACGGAGAGGCCATGCCAGAACAAAGAACGACAGAGCGGACTGTTGTATAATAGTCATGGTCTACACATAAAAACCATTCCGAACTCCCTACCCAGTACCTCAATCTTTCAACTGTCTGTACTGATCAAACACGTGACCGGTCGATTTCCCGTGGTTTACTGGCTAGTCTAAACGAATATCCAAATACAAAGGATCCAAATGAAAACCAGCGACAAATAGTCTGGAGCCCTCTGCTTCCCTACACGCTATGTGAGGCAGAAATCATGCTGGAAGTCAACATCACGCCCCAGAGAGAGAGAGAGGTACATCACCTGTGTCAATCTTGCTACTTGACAGAGAAAATGAGAAGGCCATCCGATCGCAGGAATACCAGCTGTATTCCCATAGTCTAGTCTTTTTTTTTCCGTCGTGTCGCTATCCCACCCTTCGCAATGCCCCCGAAGTGATGTTGTGTCGTCGGAAGTCGGTATATATTTTATGTATCAGTCTAGTGTCGCGGTAGGAGTGGCCTACACTTCGTGTTGTTCGGGCAACGTGGAGCGTTGGTGGGGACCTGGCTATTTGCCGTTATGTCTTTTGTTGTCGTTCTCTCTCTAACAGACTTGCGGGAAAAATGGGAACGTATCAAAAAATGAGAATTGGCGTTTTTCTTCAGAACCATCGGGTGTATCACAGAACCAAAATTATCCTGCGAAACCCCTTCGCCCCAGCTGTGAGATGAGCTCATCAGAACCGCCATGCTCCACATCACGCCTTCTCACGGGCGCAAAAAGCGATTCGTGCTGGTTTCGACCTGATTTCTCGCGATGCTGGCTACCTCGGCGATGCCGAGGACATACAGCTTGAGCAACAGCTCATTCGAAAGCTGCTGTAAAGACCTACAGCACTGTCAACTTTTTTGGGGGGAGTTGCAAAGGCGTGGTTTGCTTTCTAAAAACAAACGCCCATTCTCATTTTTGGATACGTTCCCATTTTCCCCGTCTGTTCTCTGTCTTTCTTTCTTTTTATCTCGTTCTTTTCCTTCTTTAATTGCCTTTCGTTGTTCTATCCTTTTGACCGGGGTCATCGATCGTCTCTTTATCCCAATTGATTATGGTGGTCCTGCGTAATTTTTGGAAAACTCCAACATCGAACATCGAACAAGCGGATAGTTCGATGTGCGACTTTTTGGGTCCATTAAAATTTGCAAAAGAGCGTGAAAAAAAATCCCACACACACGTTTTTGCTTTCAACAGCCCGCGGGGTTGTTGGACCACGCCCGGAAAACCCAAGGGCACTCGACTCTCGAAAAGATACGAGTGTCGAAGAACAGGGACGGCGCCAGGAGGAGGAGCACCAGAAGCAGCTCCACCAGCAAAAACAGCACCGGGTGATAGTAGCTAGCGCTCGAAGCCGCGGGGTGGAACCCTGGCATCCCTTGCGGCCTGATGCCCACATGCATTGCTTCGGGACCCTGCCGACTCACACCAACACTACTGCTGCTGTTTGGCTGTCCAGCAATGCTGTGTGTGGTTGCGACGGGAAGGAACCCCCGTGTGAATAACCTCACACCTGGCCCCGCTTGTGCACGCGGGGCCCTGGGATCCAGCGCAAACTCGTCGTCGCTCTGTGCAGACATGGGTATTGCTGTTGCTGTCCTGCAGACCTCTCTGTCGTTCTCCCCCTCCCCAGGATTGATTGTGTTTTTTGGTGGTGTGTGTTGGGTGCACGTGCGTGATGCATGCGTGCGGGTTTTATTTTTTGTCGCCAATTCGGTCCCAATAGTCCACGGGACTGTAGGTTAGGTATAGGTTTTCGAGTTTTTGTGGAAAGATGTTAAGAGTTTTAGGCGGAATCGCCCCTGGAAGATCCGGCGTACAAAAACTCGAAATTCCTAACTTCTCTTTGGGCTGTTGGACCTTCCTGGCCAATCACATGATTACCCCGCTTGTTCGATGTTCGATGTTCGATGTTCGAGTCCAAAAACATTACGTAGGACCCACCCTTACTACTGTTGATATTTTTTTGGTTGGATAACAAATCACACCTTGGAGGAATTTTCTGGTGTCCATGATTGTTTCTGGAGTTTCTAGAAAGGTGTAGACTACCGGTCGCCCCGCCCGGTGGTCTTGTGGTATCCTCGCAATCCCGTTGTTGCAGAGGTCATGAGTTCGAATCCCCATGGGGTGAAAAATTTACGAAATGTGCGGGTGAAAGCGAAATATAACTGACAAGCGCTCGTGAGTACCAAACTTCGACGTTAGCACCGTTGACGAGGGAAAGGGACGGCTGGACCCTTCTCCCGATAAAGATAACTTCAGCATGCACCGCAGGAGGAAGGTGGGGCATGAAAATAAATAAAAAAATAAATAAAACCCTGGTGTTTACCCCCTCCAGTGTGACCCTGGATGGTGGTCGTTGTACGAAAATAATACACTGAAAAGTGTAGTACTCTATCTACATACATACGTTGAAAGTGTAGTACACGTCTCACCACGAAAAATGGGGGGATTGTCGCCATTGAAAAAAGCACGAAAACGCGCAACACACACACGCACCCCTACGGGAGGTAGTTGGTTTATGACCACGGAAGGCGTCCCCGTCAGATGGGCCAGTACGGATATTAGAAGGCAGAGAGTGGATGGAGACCGAAACGGGTTTTTAATGTGAGACAACAACAACAACAACAACAACAACAAGATCCGGGAAAAAAAAAGGACGAGGAAAGGAAAAGGGCAGAAAAAGCAAGAAACGAAAATGACGAAGGAAAAACATATACCAAAGGCACACGAGAAAAAACTTGGATGAAGTCTAAATCCACGTGAAACCACATGCTGGCCTGTGAGACCCCAAGGAATGCGTTCGCTTCGAGATTTGACCAGCAAGATGTTGGACATGCTGTATAGAAGGGTGATTCCACCGCCGCTCAATTTCAGCGACATCAACGAATAAATAGTCAACTTGACCGTAGTCCGAGCATCGGTGTTATCGATGGTGTTGCCTGCCGCATTTCTCTTACTCTCTAAGCAACAAGGTCTGGAGTCAACCTTCTTTCTCTTACGGCCTCTGACGAGCTACCGCACCCAAACAACGTCTCACCACGAACAATTGGGGGACTGTCGCCGCAACAAACAGGACGAAAACACACCCACACACTCCTAGACCCGTTTTCCGCGCTCACAAGCAAGAGCGAGGACGGGGGTTGGAATCCCGGTCACGATACCCACCGAAACAAACAGTAAAATATATTCATGTCATGCTCATACAACGCTTTGTGATGCTCATGAATCTCGAGTTATTATTATTTTTGAGTGGTGGACCCCCACGACTTTATCACGTCACCCGGGCTTACCCCACGCCAAACCTTGCCCAGGGTTCCTCATACATGCACCACACACAGACGTAAACCTAGGCAGGCCTAGGCAGGCTGTCACACCTCATCTCGCTACCCCTGGTTCCCTTCACGAAATAACGGGAGAGAAGGCGGGAGGGTTTTCCGGCCAATCACCTTGCGGAATCCCACCCCTGACCTTTACCTAACACACACGCGGTGACCTCTACGGCAGATCGCCCCTTCGTCTCACAGGAGGAGCAGCTACAGCGTACACTCTTCTTCTTGCTTCTTGCTGCTGCTGCTGAAGATGTACTCCAATACGTCATCGCCTCCGTGCTCATCCAATCTCCCGATGAAACTTCCCCGCAATTTCTTACCACCTTGCCACTGTACGATTCAATCCCGCGCCACAAACCCCAGATTTCCTTCGATCAATCTTACATTGTTCAACGCGGATACACTGCTTTTTGTTTTTTTCTCCCGTCATTGGACTCTGTCGACTGCCCCTCTGGCCCCGATCCTCCTCTTCTACTAGCTAGACGACCCAACCGGGGTCACATAGGAGGGGGGGCTGGACCCCCTCCTGCGGTTCCTGCCTGAGGTATTTTTATCGCGAGAAGGGTACAACAATCCCTTTCCTCGCGACTTACGAACGAAGTCGATTAGACTATGGTGTACTACAAAATAACAACTACCTTTCTTTGCAGCGCGTCGTTTTATCCTACACCAGAACTTATTCAGTGAGAAAAAACTCGCTCTGCCGGGACTCGAACTCATGATCTGGCCCTTAGCAGGCTGCGAGGTTACCCACTAGACCACCGGGGCGACCGACTACCTACTGCAATTGCTCAATTATTTAAGAAATAAGTCGAAGAAAAAGGGCCGACAGAAGTGTATCAATTGTTGTTGTTCCACATACATACACTAACAGATAGTAGGTGGGTGGTGTTCCAAGGTGCAACTCACCGCCGCGCTGGCTCAGCGTGGCGGTGAGGATGCACAGACGGTGGAAGTAGCAAGAGGNCACAACAGATAGTAGGTGGGTGGTGTCCCAAGGTGCAACTCACCGCCGCGCTGGCTCAGCGTGGCGGTGAGGATGCACAGACGGTGGTAGTGGCGAGAGGTGTATGTGGACCTTGTCCCCGCGGCAGCAATGCAAAGCGGCAAACTGCACCTGGTAGCCACCGTAGCCANCAAGGTGCAACTCACCGCCGCGCTGGCTCAGCGTGGCGGTGAGGATGCACAGACGGTGGAAGTAGCAAGAGGTGTATGTGGACCTTGTCCCCGCGGCAGCAATGCAAAGCGGCAAACTGCACCTGGTAACCACCGTCGCGGAAAACGTGGCCCACGAAGCTGGAGGAGCAGAGAGATTCGTAAAAACCACGCGAGTAAGCACCGTTCGCGGGAG